AAAAACCATCTGACACTGGCACCAAGGGATGGTTTATATAGAGTCTGGCTTTGTAAATAAGTGAGCAAGCAGCTGCTGGTCACTGTGGGATGTTTGTACAGCTTCATTCATGGACAAGCAATGGGAGTGTGAGCTGTGTAAGGGCTGTAGTTCTGCATCCCTGGTCACAGGCTGCCTCCATGAGCTCCTTGAGAAGACGGGGAATTCCTGGCATAGCAAAGGGAACTAGCAGTGGGTCTCCTACGGTTCTGGGTTGTTGATGTGCTTGGGTGGCTTCCCTCAGATCTGTGGCAGGGACAGCCTTCAGTGACTTCTTCCTCATGGAGGAGTGTTTTATGCATCGGTGAAACTAGGCTGGGTGGTTTTGGAACCAAGACAGCACGTACCTAGACATCAGCACGCCCAGTTCCCTGGCAGCTGCAGCACAACCCTCCCCGCTGGGTCTGCTGCTCTGGGAATCAGGCTGTGCATGCTGGTGACTGCTGTTTTACAAGTTTTCACCACCTAGAAAGGGACGGGGTGAAGCCTGTGGCAAAGACAGGGCCTCCAGGCAGATGGACCACAGAAATGCTCCTTTCAGGCATGGCAGCCCCAGCATCATTGCGTAGTACCAGGAGATGAGTCTACCCTTGTTCACAGAGGTGGATGGACCCCTAAGCACAGAGCTTTCTTTTCATACTGGCCTGTCCCGCATTCCTCCCAGTCACTGAAATGCCTCCTGTGCCAACTGACACGGGCCCATGAAGGCAGCCTCCAAAATGACAGTGGTGTAAGTCAGTCATCCCAAGTCTTTGGTCTGCCTGAATGGAATCCCAGGCACCAGGCCACAAGGGTGCTGCCAAGGTCTATCAGTGCTGGGGTTTGAACAAACAGGGGTGGCAGGACAGAGGAGATGGCTGCTTCCAAGGACACATCTGGGCAACCAGGCCAGTCTTTGAAGGATGTGATGCTCAGACGCTTAAACACTTGACAACTGCTACGGTTACAGCTAAACAACATTGTACCATCCATCTATGTGGGACGAGAGAAAGGGAGGAGAGAGGCGATGCAGAGAAGTCCTCCAGGCTGCTGCAGATGCCCCTGAATTAGTGCTCACATGCTTGGAAACCCAGTCGCCTCCTTGCACTGTGCAGGGTTCAGGGAGCTCCTCTGCAGGGCTCTGCTTTGTCTTTCCTGCCCCCACCCCCACCCCGCCACCTGAAATCAGAGCAGCCTTGGTCCGAGACGCACACGGGCGCCAGGAGCTGCTCCGCGGTCAGGAGGTGAAGTAGGAGCTCTGCATGGAGTAGAGCCGGTCAATGGGGTTCCCCACGCGCGCCTGGAGGAGGCTGGCCTCGGCCGTCGACAGCAGGCAGTCGCCCAAGTGGCCGATGCTGTCACTGTCCATGTCATGGAAAACGCCTTCTGAATCTGGGGGAGGGAGGGAGGGAGCAAAGTGAAGGAGGGGCCAATGCCTGCCCAGGTGGCTAGGGCTGCAGGACTGCCCCCCACTGGCTTGTGGCACACAGAATGAGGGGGAACAGGAACTGGGCCACTGCTCAGGCTGGGTGCAGCTCGCCTCACATGGATTAGGGCCCAGTGCAAAACCCTCAAAACCTACTCCCAGCTGTAATGTGAGGAATAGCTGTCACACATGAGGTCCCCATGTCCTGTGTTGTGCCCTGATCAGAGTGAGGGGCCATAAGTCAAGCCCACGGGCATGGGGATCCTCAGCTTTGCAGCATGTACTGCCCAGTGACAGAACACCCCAACCTCAGGCTGCCTGTGCATTTCACCCCATGCAGAATAATAGAAAATGAGGGCTGGAAGGGACCTCAGGAGGTCTTCTAGTCCAACTCCCTGCTCAAAGCAGGACCGGCCCCAACTACATCATCCTAGCCTCGGAATGGACAGCACCACACCAGGGTGATGGGCATGACCAGCTCCACTTCCTGGACCTGTATCCCAGGAGGCCCTCAGCACAACTCTAAACGATGCACATATGAGACCCACAGCACCACTGTCCCAGCCCACTGCCCTGCCAAGCCACAGCAGCTTGCCTGGCATTTCTTCCTGCTGCCAGCTCTGGCTGGCAGGCATCAGATGCAGCTTTGCCACAGCCGCACCAGCCTCCTGGCCAGCCCCTTACCATAGGGATGTAGATGGTCTCCTGGCAGCTGGGGCGGCGTGAGCCCTTGTCTGTATAAGTCTGTGCTGTAGCTGTTCTGATCCAGGGGCAGCAGCTGCTGCTGGGGGATCCGGGGATAGGGGACCATGAGCCCATCTAGTCCGTGAACACTTGCGCCATCTAACGAGCAATCAAGGGAACAGGATGAAGAAGCGGGACGGGACATGTGATGATGGGCTTTGCCCTTTGCATTCAGCACTACAGCTATATACCCAGGATGCTGTGGGTATCCCCAGGGACTCCCATCAGGAGCTGTGCAAGCAGGCAGTCAAAGGCAGCACCATCTGCCAGGAGAAGCAGGAGGGGATGGTGTCTCTGCTGCTCTGGGTTAACAGCAGATGTGTTGTTTAGCAGGTAACCAGGAGGAAATCTTAATTCACCTGCTGGCAAAAGAGTTGAGCCCCTGTTGTCTGGTCAGAATCAGATGACCTCAAACATACAGTGCAGAGGTCGTTCTGCAATGATAACTGACCCCTTCCCTGCATCCTCTAGACCTATATACACTAGGCTGCCCTCTGTGCTAGCCTGCAGCCTTGCTCCAGTGCTGCCAGGCTGAGGTTCCCCTCTCTCTTCACAGCCCTGGGGACACCAGTCTGGCCCCTCCTGTGGGCTTCCCACCCATCCTCACCTTCGCTGTCATCGTTGCTCTGCCGGCTGCTGCGGCCTGTGCCACGGCCTGTCCCCAAGCGCGGATTGCCCAGCTGGTCCTGCTCCTGCTGCTGCTGCTGCTGTTGCTGCTGCCTGCGTGCAATCTTCTTCATCTGCAAAAGGCAGTGGGAATTTCCCAGCAAGAATGGGGGTGAGTCACAAATGATTTGTGTTTTTTTCTGCTGCCTTCAGGAGGGTCTTTCCAAGGAAATCATCCCAGGAAATCATCTTTTAGTTTCCAGCTGCAATTATCTCCTGTTTTTACTTTGTCACTCGTCCCAAGTGGGACATCTGAGACGTTATAGGTTGGGAAAGGGAGAAAGTGGGACAATGCTTCTTCCCCCCCTCAGGGGATCATGTTAAGATTTCACCCAGTGGAAGAAAATAGTAGAAAACAAAAAATTAGGCATTTGGAACACAACCTCCTGAAGAACCCTGGCCCCTCCAGGAGGGGAGCTGCCTGTCACTGCTTCTCCAGTTCTGAGCAGTGGGGCTGTTCCCTGCCACTCAGAGCGGGTTGTGGTGTCCTTGACTCCTGTACAGCACATGCCGAGTGGGACGGGGGCAGGCACCACTCACCTTGGCTCTCTGATTCTGAAACCAGACTTGCACTACTCGGACGGTCAGGCCGGTCTCAGCCGCGAGGGTCTCTCTCACCTATCGGCCAGAGAGGGAGGAGAATTCGGGTCAAGACCTGGTTACATTGAAAAGGGTCTGGCCCTTCACGACAGGTTTGTTTCCACATGTGATGAGCCCAGAGTCTTGCCACATGGCTGTTGTTGGGGTGCTGTGTTGCCACTCAGCCCACACCCTGTCCCAAGGGGACTTGGTAGCTCCCTCTGGAGCAAAGCTCCCCAGGCCCTGTCCTGGACCCTTCAGGCAGCATGGCTGAGTGTCTCATCCCCAGGTACCAGGCAGAGAGGACATGAGGCCTGGTGCCATCTGGCCACAAGGTCAGCAGTGTGAGGGCCCTCCCAGCACAAACTCTGGGCTGCAGGCCATGCCTGGAGTGGAGGAGAAGGTGTCTCTGATCCTTGTACCTTTCTGCAGGGCTTAGAGGAGACCTCAAAGGAGGCTTTAAACGCTCGTCGCTGCTGGGTGGTGAGGATGGTGCGTGGGCGCTTGGAGCGCTTGTGGTCCTTGCCTTCATCGCCGCCTTTGCCATGCGGGTGGCTGCCATCCTCATCCTCGCTTTTCACTGCATGGGGAAGCAGTCGCAGTTACTGCCCCAGCTTGGCCAGGCCGCAGCCTTCCTGGCTCTGTTTCTGGGCCTGTGAAGCCAGGAGCTGCATGGGCACTGGATCCCCCCAGATGCAGCAAAGGCCATAATCATGACTGCTCTTTGCTGTCCGTTTCTAACCTGGAACTCCTCCTCTGCCTAGACAGGATTGAGGCCCAGCTGGCTCACTCCCCTTCCCACTCCTCACCACTCAGACTTAAGCCCCAGCTCCTTTTCCTGTCTCAGCACCCTGGGGAAGGATGCTTTAGAAGAAGAACAGATGAAGCACTTAAGCCCTGGGCACTTCCTGCCTTGCACACATCTCCTGACACACAGCCCCTTCCCTTGCCCATGCCCCTGCCTGCTCTGCCCTGCCCAGCCCCCTCACCAGACTCAGTGGGTGCAGGGCTGATGGCGCTCAGCATCTCCTTCTCCTTCTCATAGTCACTGCGGCATAGCAGCTGCCCCTCCTTGAGCACGAACTCGTCCCCACGCTGCAGACGCCGCTCGCACTCGCAGCAGTAGAAGCAATGGACATGGTAGACATTTTCCAGCACCCGCATGATGAACTCAGATGGGGCAATCGCCTTCAGGCAGCTGCTGCACTTCGTCTGGAACAGCCTGCACAGCCAGGGAAGAAACAGGCCATCAGGCAACAGAGTTGGGATTTGGGATGGGGTAGGGGTAGGCACAGGAGAGGGGAGGCTCAGGTGACATGGGGAAGGGGGTAGAGACTAGGCTTAGAAGGCACTGGAGCTGGTAGAGGCTCAGCAAGGGATTGGCCTGGGGCTCTGTTAGGGCATGGAGGGTACTGGAGCTGAGGTTGGTGGGTGAAAGTGGGGCAGCACAAGGGTTCTGGCTGTGGGGTGGGGGGGAGGAGCCACCATGGCCAGGGCAATGCATCAGGCATGGAGGGGTAATGGGTGCTACCCCTACCCCAAGCTGGCATTCCCACAGCACAGCATCAGCGTCAAAGTTGGTAGCTAGGGCAGATGTAGGGCGTCAGGGTTCCCAGCGGACTGGGAAAGGCTCCCACAACTGAGCTGAGCATGATGGCCCAAAGCAAGGCAGGGGAGACAGAAAACAAACTGCCCTGGGGCTCTGGGACTGGAAGGGGGAACAGGAGCACTGACAGCCCCAGTGTGCCAAGACGAAATGGAGTTTAAGATACTACCCCCATGCTACCTGAACAACACACGCTGTTCTGGGACTGCAGCTGGTCTTTAGCTCAGGTCACTGCTGCCCCTGCCCTGTGCTGCCTTTCTCTTGGTTCCCTCCCAGTTTCTGTGATTCCTGTGAGGAACAGGGCCTGCCCCACCAGTGGCTTAGAGCCCTGGGTTTCTCTCCTAGATGGGGCAGCACTTTTCTGGGCACAGAACCAAAAGCGTGCCCAGCCATCCAGGCTTCCTCCCAGACCACTAAACCACTCTAATGACCAAGTCCCCAAGGGCTGAACACTCTCCTGGCAGAGAAAGCCACAGGGGAGAGGCTGTATGTGCCCCAGACAGCATCCAGAGAGAGAAACCCACATTTGCTGAGCGCCCTGCATTCACAGCAGATGGTTCTGATGAAGTAATTTGGGATCTAAACAAATGTGAGCATGGTGGCTGCCGGCTGACAGCTTCTATTTAGCCACTTGACAAGAGAAAGTAATAAAATGGGGATTAATTAGGCTGTTGTTTAAACACACAGGATCTTCCCCACCAGCAGGGAACTCATAAACTGGGATTGAGAACAAGACTGGGTTAATCCTCCTGGCAAACTCTGCAGAGCGGGATGAAGAGGATTACAGGGGAGGGCTCATCCCTTCCAAATACCACCGTGGATTTGTGCTGGAGCAATGGCTCCCGCCTCTAGTGCCTGGGACATTCCAACTGGAGTCGCGTGGGATCTCTCACCCCTCTTCTGTATGCATGCATGTGTGCGTGCATGCCTCTCTGTCTTTCTTGGGCTCTCCCCTCTCTTTGTCTTTTTGCAATTCATGTTTTATTTTTAATTGAGTCTAAGATGGAAAAGGCTCAGTGTAAAGGATGGTGCAATCATGGAATCAGGTATTTCAAACTCGGATTCATCCTCACGCCCACTTCCCTTAGTCTGAGTTCCTTGCACAGACCTCCAAGGTGAGTCATGGTGAATCTGTGCCCTCAGCCTGACACTGACACCCAGCACTACAACAAAGAGGGGAAAGGAATGCACAGTCCCTTCCATTACCTGGACTCAGTTATAGGCCTATGCCTTGCTGCTGAGTCAGGGATTATTTATATTCCTACACCCAAAGCCCCAGAGATTACACAGCAGTCACCCAGTCTGACCTCCCCGGTGTGGGATTCCAGCATTGACCAACTCCCTGCCAAAAGGCTGGAGCATCTCTCCTAGGACAAGTCAGGTGGCCTTGCAAAGACTCCACACAGTGGAGAATTCAAAGACTAATGGCTAATTCCCAGCTAATGACTGACTTCCCACTCACACCTCTCTCATTCCAGTGCCAGGCACTGGACCTGGTGGAGCTTTCATTTACTACAGAGTAGTTAGAGTGAATCATAGCAAGTACAGGAAGCCAGAGCACATGTCCCTGCAGGTGTCTGCACTCCTGGCTTCCAATCCACATGTTTGGACCATCCTGGCCATAGAGAATCAACCACCAGATGATAGGCTAGGTTAATTTTTCCCTGTGATGCACTTAAGTCATGATCTACCCAGAATGAAGATGCTTTGACCAGTTCAAGCTGACAGCAGGTCTCAGCTGGTTCCTGCTCCTGGAAGCAGTGGCTGCAGCCACCTGTGTCCTCAAACCTGGGAACTTCTCACCGGACCCAGCCTGTGGCTTTGGGCTACAGAACAGAGGCATACAACTGGAAGCAGAAGTATCAGGAAGGTGGGCATCTCTGGCCAAGGCACTGGCCTGGTAATGTCCTGGGCTATCCTGGCTGGGTCAGAGCAAGGAGCAAGACTGTAGCTGGCATGAATGGGACACCTCTCCCTCCTGGCCCTATGAGTCACAGGACCTGTTAGAAGATCTGGAGACCGTGCCTGAGGCACGTCCGAGCTGGCAAAAGAGGCCTGCTTGTCCGCAGGCCAACTAGCCTGTTTATCCTCCTGCTCTGGACAAGGAGGTTGGCAAGTGTTGTTAAAGCACCCTGTCATGTGCCAGCGATCTTTCCTGGATTGCTCCTGGAAGGGCTTCTCGGATGCTGCCCAGAGAAGGATGCTGCGACCTAACTCAATAACGCCTTGGCACCACAAGCCCCGCACCCTCTGTCTCCCAGCTAAGCCCCGAAAACAAATCCGTGCTGCTTTGTACTAATTGAAGAAAACATTCAGCAAGCAGCTCATAAACACGGTGTCAGCTCGCATTACACAAAATTAAAATTCTCAGCCCCGGCAACACCAGGAATTCCTAAAGAGGCTGGTTTTAATATCGCCCGAATCCGTTTAAGTCAAGGTAATATTGTTTGGGTTGCCATAGAAACAGAATACATCTCCATTGCCGCCAGTGGGTTGCAAGGGGAGATGGGAGGCTGCGTCGGGAGCATGGTGACACGATGTCTGAAAACATCGGCTCACGGAAAACACATGAGGGGAGACGGTGACACAAACTGGGTTCCAGGTTCAGCACTGGAGGTGATCTTAGCTGCTTAGCACCAACAAAGGTGCTGGGCTAGCCACCCTGGCACCTGGGAGCTCCCTGTGCCAAAGACAGAAGCATCATGGAGGGCTTCCAAACCCTTGCACCCCCTCTACCAACACATGCGCCCCTCTCCTAGAAGCGCCACACCGAGGTTAGACTGCACGGCCCCTTCACTGATGAGACAGACAGTAAACAAGGCTGATCATGGTGCCTGCTGGTTTCACAACCAGGTTGTTTCTGTCCTAGGGTGCAGAACAGTGTCAGATGCTCAGAGCTGCCTATGACTGACGCCGGCCCCATGAGGATCCCTGGACAGCAACATACACTTCCTGGCCCCGTGGCTTCCCAGACAGGGGGATAGGAGCATTAGAATGGAGGTTCAAATGCACCTTTGGGCTCAGGCAGCTTCTCATGAAGACGACCCACATGTGATGTGGCTCAGACCCCCTCAGCCAATACACGAATGGGTTTGTCTTGTGCTCTGTCTGCTTGCTGTGGTTTCACCGGCTTTCGGCTGCTAGCAGACTTGAGCTGGTAATACCATGGCTGCCAACACAGCCATTCAACCCTGCAGAGCTGGCCGCATTGGCACCCAGGGCTGTGCAGACCGCACTGCAGAAGACTGCAGGCAGACAGAGGGCCCAGGCGCTGCCCCTCCCAGCAGCCCCATGCGCTGAGCAGCAAGTTCTAGAGAACTTCTCTAACTAGTTGTGCTGGCACGGAAAATCCTGACCCAGGCCTAAGGGTAATTTGGAGCATATGAGATTGTCCTGACAGGATTAAAAGGTGTTAATGAAGCAAGGAGCAAGGCACCCTTGAAAGCTGGGAGGCCGGTGCTTCATGAAGTTGGCTTATTTAGTTAGGGTTTAGTCAAAATGAAGCAGTCCAGGCTTAAGCGAGGTCTGTTTACCTAGCGCTGAGCTGCGAAATCCATCCTCGCTGTCTGAAATATTGAAGTGGAACTTGTAAAGCCTCTTTCCAGATTTCAGGCCAGGGCAAGGAGCTGGGGGCAGGGATGGGATACAGAGGGGAAACACAATGCACCCTTTCATCCCTGGGAGTTGATTTCACTCCTGCCACAATAGCAGATTCCCCCTTCACCAATATGAGGTGGGGGAGAGGGGTTAAGGGCGAAATTCCCCTCTGCTTGGTTTCCAAGTGGTGCCAGCAACACGGAGGCTGGAGCAATGAGAGTTTGGGGAGACAAGTTGTTACCTCCCTCCTGTTCCTTCCAAAGTATTCACTGGACTCCCTGGTGAATGCCTCTGGGAAGGGGCACTTGCCTACTGTCTATGGCTGGGGATACTCAGACAATCAGCCACAGCTAACAATGCTGCCATTCTCTCAGTGATGGCATTTTGGAGCAGCAGGCCCCTCCTCCTGGCCGATCCCAGAGCCGTTGCTACCTGCAGAAGATCCTGGCTGAGCAAATTTATCTCATGCTGTTGCCAGGCAGGCTCGGGTCCTTGCTCCCAGGCCACGAGGAAGCTCTCTGCTTGCCCAGCCAGTCCCCAGAGACCTGAGCTGCCTGGTCATCTGCTCTGAAAGGTGAAGGTTTTCCCTGGGGGTGACTAATGCTTGAAGCTGTGAACACTGGTGAGCTCCTGGGATGGAGCTTGGCTTAGGTGCAGAGGCAGCAGGCAGGATGGGGGAGCTCAGGTGAGGGCTGCTGTGTGCCCATCAGGTTACTCCCATCTTTGGCAGAAGGTGTGAGGTCTAAGAGGGAACAGCAGGGTGAGGAGCCCTCTGCACCATGAGGATGCTGGAAGCCACTTCTGTGAGGAGGGGAAGTGGAGCATGAAGCCTGCTAAGACCTGCTATCTAGATGGTGACAATACACAACAGAGCTCATGCTTATGGACTGTTTCCAGACCCGTGTAGTGCCATAAACTCATGCAGGGCACTTGGTAGCAACTGCCGGGCTCCAGCACATTCCACTTCAAGCCCACAAAGGCCTCTGAAAGCAGCTGCTTTCTGACAGAAGATGCTTTAC